CATTATGGTCAGAGCCTTAATTTTACATTAAATAGCAAGGTTCCTAACATCAATTATGCAAGGAAACGTTTTTTCGCGGCTTCCAACATCCAGCGCTTCAAAGATCTGCTGAGCTCCGAGACCTGGAATGATGTATATGGTTCAGTTGGGGTTGAGGAGAAATATCAAACCTTCTTTAACGTACTATTTCATTATTTTGACATTTCTTTTCCATTATGTACCTATCGATTAAAATTCAAAGAACAAAACTGGGTAAATGAGGAGATAAAAGCATACTGTAATTATATAAAAGATTTGTATGTTTGGTCTAAGATTACACATAGCCCTAGAGTATATAATCAGTATAAAATTGTACGACAAGAATACCGGAAATTTCTGTCGAATTACAAAATAGCTCTAAATGAAAGTAAAATATTAAACTCAAAAAACATGACAAAAACTGCGTGGAGTATTTTAAACGCAGAAACTAATACAAAAATTAAGCGTTCCATTGAGCTAAAACTTAATAATGGTGTAATAATAAAAGATCCCCAAAAAACTGCTGATGCCTTTCAGGAAAGGTTTGATATCTCTCCACAATCCCATGGCAGTCTTGATATTTCGGAAGCTAGTGCGATTCCCACTTTATTTTTGCTTCCATAGACCATCAAATACTCCTTAAAATTCTGTCTAAACATGGAATACGAGGTAAATGTGCACAGCTTATAGAGTCATACCTTGACAGTAGGGAGCAGCTTGTCTGTATAACCCAAAATGGTGTTAGGCATTTTTCATCAGTTACCTTGATTAAACAGGGTGTGCCGCAGGGATCAATTCTGGGACCGTTGTTGTTCCTGCTCTATGTGAATGGTCTTCGTGACAGATTTATGGAAGGTCTGATTTGCCAGTATGCGGACGACACTACTGTTGTGCTGACTGCGTCGGACATGTCTGGCTTGTCCGGGGTCTGTTCTTGTGCAGTGGGGACCATGCAGGATTGATGCAAGGATTATGCATTAAGATTGAATGCTGATAAAACTGGACTTCTCACGTTCAGTAAATCATCTGCCAGGGATGAGTCGCTGTTGGTTCGTTGCAATAGCGGACCAATACCAGAGATGACCGATATAAAGTTTCTGGGCATTTACCTGGATTCGAGTCTGAATTGGGATTGTCAAACATTTGTTTTGGTTGGTAAGCTCCACAGCTTCTGTGCGTTGGTGCGGCGGCTGCGAAATGAGGTTTCCTTGAACACTTTACGGCAATTTTATTATTCATCTGTACAGTCATTGTTAACTTATAGTATAATGTTCTGGGGCTCTTCGCGGGGTGCCATGTCAGTTTTTATAGCGCAAAAGCGCATCCTGAGGTGCATTTTGAGACTTCAGCCTCGAACATCATGTCGGGAACATTTTTCAAGATTGGGATTCTTGACGGTTCCATCACTATATTTTTTGGCACTTGTTTTATTTGTTAAAAAGCATATGTATCTTTTTAATAGTAACGCACATTATTATGCTAAAAGTATGACCGTTGTGACCAGAGGCAGAGAAAATCTGAGTGTGCCTGCACATTCGTCCGCATTTTTTAAGAGGGCTCCATTATACATGGCTGTCAAAACTTTCAATATGCTTCCTATAGATATAAAATCCGAGAGCAAGCCTATTAGGTTTAAAAGAGCGGTGAAAAAGTTTTTGCTGGACAGATGTTTGTACAGCTTTGATTTTAACATTTGAGCTCCATTATTTTATTTTAATAACATTTTAAGCTAAGTTGTGACATACTGGACTTTTATTTGTCATTTTAATAGTCTTTAATATTGTAAACATACATATAATATCCCGTTGGTATTGTACTACATTTTTTTTTGACGTTGCTTATGTTTTTTCTTTAAAATTTTGCTGGCAATAAAGAATATTATTATTATTATTATTATTAAACCAAACATGACGAAACTATTTACTGCTAAAACAATTTATTTTCTCAAAACCATTTTAGATACACTCTAGTCGTAAAAAATACATATTTTAAATCACTTAGACCTATAACTAATAAAACATCTGAACAAAGCAACAATTGAAAGATTACCATTGGGTAACATCACCTTTATTTTTTATTACGGCTGAAATTCTTTGAGGCATAGTGTTAACCAAGTTTTGGCAAAAATTTGGTGTAAAACAATCCCATATCTCTTGAAGCTTTTGTCTCAGTTCGGTGATTGTACGAGCAGGATGTTGTCGTAGAACCTTTTTCATCTCGTGTCTCAAAGTTTCAATAGGCGATAGATCTGGACTGCTAGAAACCCATTCCAAAAGTGGTACATTATTTTCTTCCATCCATTTTATAGCCTTTATTGAGGTATGGCACGCTGCACTATCTTGCTGAAACACAAAATCCTGGCCGGATGTCAAACATTCTTCCATCACTGGTAAAAGCGATTCTTCTAAAATTGCCAAATATTTGTTTGTATCAACATTTCCAATAAAATGCAGTTTTCCTACTCCTTTTGATGACATACTGCCCCAGACCATAATGGATACTAGAAATTTCACTTTTCTCTTCAAACGGTCAACATGAAGTGCTTCATTTTTTTTGCGAATAACTCTACTGCGACTGTCACCAACACAAACTTCGAATCGGACCTCATCACTCCACTGTATTGCACGCCATTGTTGAGGTGTCCATTGTCTATGTCCTTTAGCCCATCTAAGCTGATTTTTCTTTTGCAGTGGAGTTAATAGTGGCTTTTCTTTGGCCTATAAACAAGTTGTGCAACTTTAGGGTTTTTACTTCACTTTTTTTTATAGGAAAACTTACCTTGCAAGTGCTAAATCCCAGTTTGTGGGCCTATCTATGAATTGCGGACCTCGAAGTTCTCCTTCCAACAGCGTCACTTCACAGAGCACTTAATTGTAAATAATTGGCACGCCTGTTTTTCACGATTATTCTTCTTAATGCTCTTCGGTCGGCATTTATGATATTACTTTTTTTCACATATTGTGGCTTAATATTAACTGAACCAGTTACGTTATATCTTCTAAAAATATTTCTCACACTGTACCGCGATAAGTCTAACAAAGTTGCAATTTCCGAGTTTGATTTCCCAGAATTAAAAAATTTAATTATCAGTAACCGAATTTTCTCACTAATAACCTTTCCTTTACCCATTTTGAAAACCTTAACTACCCAAAACTATTTTAAACGTATTCTGACAGCTGTGATTAATAATAAAAATAGTCTTGGCTTTTATTTCTCACAGCCACCTATGCGTTATAGACTTATTTTGCATTGAAATGAAAATAGGTTGATATGTTGTAATTGCGACATGTGTTATTTTTATGCTGCAAATTTGATTAGGGAGTGATAAAGTTGGTGTTTTCTACTATATATTATCAAAATATTCATTGTTAATATTTTAAACCTATAACACCCTGCTACATTTTTATTATTTGTGTTTGATAAGAAAAAAACTAAGATTTCAATAGTTGGGCCAACTGAAGGGGGAAGGGGCTCGTACCATCCAATCGTAGTATAAAAAGAACTTTATATTATAATTTGTTAGGGTAGGTGGTACAAGCTTTAAAGATAACGTTCAGTTCGATACATCTCAGAAACTTTCTCGTGTAATTGTCCGGCAATACGCAAACGCAGGTCCAGGGGTCGGAAGAAAGAGGAAAGCAGCTAATCTAACAGATACTCCAGAAAAAAAAAAATGTTACAAGAAAAACAAAATAAGATAACCAAGAGAGGTAAGACACAGAAACAAAAGATTCATAAAAAAAGAGAAAAGCCTAAAATAGTTCTCCAGTCAAATTGTGATGTAATGAAGACGAATATACCTGCCTGGTTTGTCGCGAAGCTTATTACGATAGTTTTCCAGGTAAAAAATGGATACAGTGCCAAGTTTTTAAGGAATGGGCACATACAAAATGTGTGCAAAATAGAAGTTTTAGTTACGTTTGCATTAATTTTGACAGCGACGATGATTAATTTGCTATATCACAATAATGTGTTTTTTTATATCAAAACCCGATCATTAGTGATCTGAGATCTGAATGACTTAAAGTAGAAATACTGAGTTTACTCCACATATTAGGTTTAATAATTATGTTGATTATATTGATTATATTTTTATATTTAACATTTAAAAAAATAAGGTTTGTGTTGTACTCTTATTAGCAGATTATAAATAAAAAGTTTATTGTAAAATTGTCTGTGTATTCCAGGTCTAGTAAACATCCTCCTGAATACATGGCTTATTTGCCTTGATGCTCAATATGCCCCATGCTCTTGCTTAACTTCTGACTTGTCGTTCAAGAGATATGGCTGATCACGTGAAAAATTGCTCAACTAGCTCCACCCTACCCTACTGCCGCAGACAGGAAGTTGGAAATAATCTAAAAAAGGGACGTGCCACCTTAAGGCAGATAGCGGATTAGAAAAACACACTTTTACTGGATGAGATTGGTTGTTAGATGTAGTAGAGCCAAGTCTTGATCCGCTCACTACATGTGCACTTACTCCGGGATCCACCAGATTCATAACATCCAATACCGTGTTAGAGTCTACTTGCTCATCATTTTCAGCAATGTCTTTGATTATAATGTTGTGATACCTTCTGAGCCTCTCAAGTGGGATAGTGTTGCTAATTCAGATTAAGTTCGCTGCTCGAATTCAGAGATTCTATGTTCGACACACGTAAGACTCGAAGATAGCGTTGAATGAGACGTTTGAAGCTGCTTTATATCGGTTTCGCATGCAACTAGTGATGCATCATGACGAGGGGTAATATCTAAATATTGCTGCAACAAGGTAGGTCACTTTTTTAAATACTATAATTTGAGTTATATGAGGGATGCCTTTTAAGTTTTGCATATAGAAACATAGTAGGCCGCGCGGATAGAACGTCAGTACTGAATCCCGACCTCACTCTTTAGTAAACTTAAATTCAAAGTTTCACAACAATACGTGCAGTGTTCTCACTACAGCGAATTTTTAAGTGTCACCAAGTCATTAGAAAAATGGAACTCAACCGAGAACATTTTCGCGCCATAATTTATTACAACTTTCAGAGACAATTATCGCAACAAAAATGCCTTGCTGAGTTACTGTCTGTTTTCGGCAACGAAGCGCCACATCAGTCGACAATTTCACATTGGTACAGATAACTCAAACCTGAACGTGTGAGTCTTAGCAACGATCCCAGGGTGGGTGCACCAAAAACGGCAGTAACCCAGGAATACGTCGATGCTGTGCGCAAACTCATCATTGAAGATAGACATGTGACAATCGCGAAATTGAGGCGTCCTTGAAGATCTCAAAGACCTCAATACAAAAAATTTTACATCCATTCTCGAAGTGTTTCGAAAAGGATGGTCGCGACATTTGTGTCAAAAGCGGGTTATACTGCAACAATTCCTCTTAATGAGCAAAGAACTGTTACTGCGGATTGGTATACCACCATTTCCTTGCCAAAAGTCATCACCGAACTTCGAAAAATCAACCTGGAAAGAAGAATCATCCTCCACCAAGACAATGCAAGCTCGCACACAGCCCAAAAAACAAGGCAGTATTTAACGGAAGAAAACGTGGAATTATTGGACCATCCTCCATATAGTCCCGATCTAAGTCCTAACGATTTCTTTACTTTCCCGAAAATTAAAAACAGACCGCGTGGTCAAAGGTTCCAGTCACCAGAGGAAGCAGTTGACGCATTCAAAAACGCCGTTTTGGATCTACCAGCAAACGAGAGAAATAAGTGCTTCGAAAATTGGTTGGATGTGTATTAATCTTCGTGAAGAATACTTCGAAAAACAATAAAGTCATTTAAAACTACCTACCGTGTTGTTTGATTACCATATGCAAAGCTTAAAAGACATCCCTCGTAGCCAACTTTGCAAAAACATTAGAAAATACGTTTTTTAGGATAGTCCAAATGTCAAAAGGATACATAGAAAAATTTACAAGATCAAAGATTAAGAATCTGACATAGCCCCAAACTTTGCTAATAAGACCTGACTTCCTTCGCTCACCCTGTATAAGTGGATAAATGAAAGAAATATACCGATCGAAACCTGTACGTGTTCTCACAGGGTTGGTCAAGAACCTCCCGAATACCACAACTAGATATATCTTATCGTTCCGGAAGTATCGAGATTTGAATTTGGGTAAAATTTTCCATGTTGCAAAGCAACTATCCACCAGTTTAGTACAATTTAACAGTCCCTAGATCTATCTCCAATATTTACATAAAACAATTACGTTCATTTCTTTTCTCGCTCCTACTTCCTTCCTTTCTTTCCTCCTCTCCACTCTCTTCTAGTCTGGTTTCTGGGCCACCAGACCTGACAGACTAACGACAGACACTGGCATTACAGTGACTATGACATAAAGGCTAAGATCCTCCGGACAGCTTTGAGAAGCAACGACAACTATAGCGTATTTACACCCAAGATAGAATGGATGCGTGATTATCAATAGCAAGGACGGCGTACAGGGCCGCATTCTGGGCTACCTCCGAATGATGGACTACCACCAACGTGTTGTAAAACAAATGTGACAGTATTTAACAGAAACAGACACTTAACAAATTACTCAAATACACTTAACAACAACAACAGCAACAACCAAGCAAGGTGAATACGAAAACACGAGCACGCAGAAATACACGTGACGGACGGTGGCCTGAGTGCAACTCTGCCTGCCCTGCCTCTGCCCCGCGCATTATTCCGCCTGGCGACCGCTTGAAATTTAATGGCGAATTGACCAATAAGAGGCGTTGTCCCCACCTGTTACCGAGAGATCACGCGCTAACTGTTATTATTTACATCTCATCTTGAATTTGGATTCAGTTTAGTATACTACAACTATTTAAAACTGTAATGACTCATACGCGTGATCAACACGTGATCAGAGCTCGATCCCGGCTTCCTTCCAGTACAGCCGTATAGCGTACGACATATGTCGTTTCTGTGGCTTTGCGGTGGTCAACAGCACAGACAGAGATGGAAATAATGGCTGATTGTTCTCCGCCATGGAGAGTACAAATGGCACGAGTGGAAGTACTGAAAGCCAGGGAACAAGTAGACGGCTTCGTAAAGCACTGAAGAGGGACGCGAAAGAAATCGTGCTCAACGTGTTCAATTATCTGAACAGAACTATGTCGCAGGGAGATGCACTCGCGCGTTGTGAAAGTATGACAGGCGTTCCAGAGTGGACCATTCGCAGGGTGGTGCATGAAAAGAAGAAAACTGGAGCTACTACTTATCCAAAGTTTAATTTGAAGGGACGAAAGGCCGTTAAATTGGATGACGATAGCAAAATGGCGTTAAGGCGAACCGTACATTCATTCTTATTTAGGAATGAGATACCAACCCTCAAGGTTGTACATGCAGCGATCAAGGAAAATGAAATTATACCCCAAATGAGCGTGGAGGTAATGAGGAAATCCCTGCACGAAATTAATTTTCGTTACGAAACGCGTAATCGGAAGTCAGTATTGATAGAGAGACCTAAAATAGTCGCCTGGCGTCGAAAATACCTACGCGAAATGATTGAATATAGGCGACAAAGCAGAAAAATCTATTATTTGGACGAGACATGGGTAAATGCAGGTCACACAGTTAAAAAACCTGGATAGACAAAAACGTAGTGAGTAATCGACAAGCAAGCATTGAAGGTTTGTCAACAGGTCTTCGTGGACCGTCAGGGAAAAGTCAAAGATTGATCGTAACTCATATTGGTAGCGATAGTGGCTTTTTAGAAGAGTGTGACCTGATTTTCGTCTCTAAGAAAGGAGGTGATTACCATGACGAAATGAATGCCAGCTGCTTCGAGAGCTGGTTTCAAGGGGTGCTTCAGCGAGTTGAGCCCAACTCTGTGATCATCATGGATAATGCTTCCTACCATAGTCGTCGAGCCGAACGTGTACCGACTATGGGATCTCGAAAAAGTGACATGCAGCAATGGTTGCGCGAAAAAGGAATCCCGTTTGACGATTCATGTGTGAAAGCGGAATTGTATGAAAAAATTAAACAGCACAAACCTCCTAACATTGGTTACGTGACTGATCAGATGGCCCGTCAATGTGGTGTCACTGTGCTGCGGTTACCGCCCTACCACTGTGAACTGAACCCAATAGAGCTCATCTGGGCTCAAGTGAAGGGTTATATTGCGCGCCATAACACAACCTTCAAATTACCAGACGTTAAGGTTTTACTTGAGACTTCCATACAGCTAGTAACGCCCGAAGCTTGGCAGAATGCTATTCGTCATGTTGTGAAGGAAGAAACAAAAATGTGGCAGCTTGACCACCACATCGACACCATCATAGAGCCAGTTATAGTCAATTTCAACGAGGAAAGCGATAGCGACAGTTTGTTACTGTCAGATGAATGTGGAAGCGACGATGAATAAAGGTAATTCCCAAATTTTTGACTTACAATATGTTTCAAACCACTCTTTATTAAGCATGTGACAAATCTAGTTCACCCATGTTAAACATTCATACCCGGCCTATGAACAGCCGACTACTGGTAGTTAAGTGATGTTCACGTGAACATCGATGAGTCATTACAGTTTTAGATAGTTATAGTATAGTCGGTTATAAGTCATAAACAATTTATTTTTGACGGTATTGTGGGCCTGGCACATGCAGATTCGTTAAAGCGGATTCTTTTTTCATAAGAGTATGCAAAAAGGCAGAACCAGATTATTTTGTCGAGCGGGTTTGAAGATACGTCATTGGCTATGACTAGTTCTTCCTCCTTCGTTAAACAATCCATATTTTAATTGCCAGGTATGTAAATGGTACGTGTTTCATATAAAATATTTAACTCAAGACATTGAAAAATGGCGTCGAATTTAAAACCTGAAATACCTATCTGGACACATTCAAGACGCTACATGAAAATAAATAGTACCTGAGATATACTTTGCGCAGGTCTGAATCGTCCTCAAAAAGTCCCAAAACCACGTACAAATTCATATTCAACAAATCATCTAGCTCCTGAAGAGTGTCTACACGAATAGATCCCATCCTAGCTACTTTTTTTATAATCTCGATCATTTGTTGCAGTTGTATCCTTTTGACTTCGTTCGCATACTCTCCATGTCTGTAGATTTCTATCGTCGGTGGGTCAATGACCATTTGCTCATCGCAGGTGTCCTTGCCTTCATCTAAACAGTCTATTTTGTAGAATCCGATAGGCTGCTCGAACTCTACCAGTCTAGAAGCCGCAGTTGTGAATCTACGATAAACAATATGAGCCATTTACGCCGATTTTGCTACTTCGGTACAAGTTGTACCAATGAAAAATCATCATCAAAAGGGATTAAGCCATTTTTTTTTCAACTTATATAAAATCAGCTTGAGGCTTTTTTACAAGCAGACTAGACGAATTTGATCATACCCTCAATTTTTATTGTTATTGTAGTGACATTTCCTTCTACTTACACAATTTTACTGATTTATTCGTTTAGCCGCCCTCTCAACATATACGTAAAAAAGTTAAATGACCTAAAAGTGACTTATTCCCGTTTAACTATTTGCCACAGGTATGATATAGTATATCAGATGAAGAAGGATTTGTGGCCTACTCGAAAGATGACGCCATTACTGAGCATTTTGTGTCACTGTTCATTACAAAAATCTGCCTTGAAGAGATAAATATAATTACAAAACAAATTAATATTGAGTAAATATCCAATTTACTTGACTACCGTGCGAAAAATCTCCTCAAGTCAGCCCTGTTACTGTGATCAGGGTGATTTCATGCACTCTACTGGACGGTAGATCGACTACGCGACCACGCCGCTTCGTGGTGATGGTCGCAAGGCCAGAAGTAGCTACCCCAGTGCCCAGTAGAGGGCGTGAGTAGCGTGGCATAAGGAACAGGGTTTTCGGCACGGCAGTCAAGTAAATTAAATATTTACTTGATGTTTGTCGAAGAACAAGCATTCTCTAATTCTATGTCTTCAGAATCTTGTATATAAATGGTGAGACACTGTTGTTTTCAATAAAAATGCTCACTTAATTGCCTTCATATCAAACTAGATTTGTGTCCGTGCTTCGAATATGGCGCTAATATGGGGTTGTCCAAAACGGACGCAGGAAAGTAAATGCATATTAAAACAAGAAAGATTGATATTCAAATCAAGTTGGGTACTTTATTTTGAAGGTTCATTTATGCCATTTATGTATGAAAAATAATATCGCTCAAATGTTCACCACGACTGGATTTACAGACGTCCACGCGATGGTCGAAATTTTCAATGACATTTTGCAACATGGTCGGTTCTATGGCATTTATCTCGGCAATGATGTTGTTTTTGAGTTCTTGGAGGGTGGCTGGTTTGTTGACGTAGACTTTGCTTTTCAAATATCCCCAGATCGCACGATCTTGGTGGCCAATGCACATTTGATATTGACGTTGTTTGTGTGGCATGTTGCACCGTCTTGTTGGAAATAAATATCGTCCATATCCATTACTTCAAGTTGCGGCAAAAAATAGTCCTCTATCATCGCGTAATATCGCTCAGAATTGACGGTAACGGCGTCCCCGGCCGCATTTTCGAAAAAGTAAGGTCCGATGATGCCTTTTGACCACAATGCACACCACACAGTCACTTTTTGAGGATGCATCGGCTGCTCTTGATACTCACGGGGATTTTCGTTCGCCCAGATGCGGCAGTTTTGCTTGATTACCATCCCATTCAAAGTGAAATGCGCTTCGTCGCTGAACATGATTTTTTATGAAAAATTGGCATCAATTTGGCGGTGTTCAAGGAGCCAACCTGAGAACGTTCGGCGCGAAAAATGGTCGGCCCTACGCAGCTCTTGCGTCAATTGGATCTTGTAGGCGTGTACATTCAAATCCTTGTGGAGAATGCGGAGCAAACTGGTTCTCGAAATGCCCAATTCCTGGGATCGACGCGTTGTTGATTGTTTCGGATCGTCTCTCACACTCTCCTTCACAACAGCAATATTTTCCGGTGTGCGAACGCTCCTTGGCCGGCCAGAGCCTGGCAGATTTGCCACAGAACCTGTTGCCTCGAATTTACGCACCAAACGACCGATGGTTGTTTCGTTTGGGCGGTTGTTGCGACCGAAATGTTCACGAAGCGCGCGAAACGTGTCTTTTATTTTTGCACCATTTTTGTAGTGCTCTTGAATAACTTTAATGCGGTCTTCAATCGAATACGACTCCATAGCGATCAATGGTAAACATTCAACTAACAAAATGACATGTCGGTGACAGAAAACAAAGATGGCGTCTATGTCAAATTGACGTTTACTTTCCTGCGTCCCTATTGGACAACCCTTTATTTCTTATTTATTAGTGCATTAAAGATGGGCTTTTGTAGATAAACCAAGTGAATTACAGCATTATTGCAAAACCCTATAGTTATTATTTTCCAGTAAGAGACATTATACAAGAAAATGGACCATATTCATTAGATCCATTACTCGTCATTGCTTGACTTTATGACGCATGCGCGTTTTTATTCTATGGCTTGGTAAGATCGGCACGGGTATTATGTAAAAAAAAACTATAAAACGTCAAAAAAACCTATAAGATGTAATCTTGCAGACTAGGTAGTTTTTAGGGGTCATTCCACGTTTGCTCACTAGGATTGTTATGAGCGCGATCCAAAGCGTCCATCTATGGAGGAACGGCTCAACTACTCGTACGTGCGTTGTTGGTTGCATATCTTTTGTGAATCCGAGTAGACCCATCTGGGTGATTGTGTGTATTGGTCTGCACGTGTATAAAATCAGTGATATTTGCTGTGTGCGAAAATTATTGCTGAATATGCTGCCGATGAAGTATATCTATTAGTTTTGTGCCAAATGGGCTATTTATATGTTGCCCTTTCGGAAGACAGGTTAAGTTCAAAGCTATCAATTACGATTTTTTACGTCTTTTTGTGTTTTCAAAAATTTTGAGAAAAACTATGGGAAGTCACCAACGCGCCCGCGTTTGTTAGGTACGTATTTTAAAAGCCGGTAGTCCCATTTCAATGAAATTTGGTACACATATGTTTTGTTAGATGTTCAAATATTTGACTTTTTAACAAAAGTGGGGTTTGAGAAAGGTGAAAACTACCCCACCCCTACATAAATTATAGCAGAATTCCCGACGACCCCGGTTTTTTCATTTACTTCGTCTTTGACTCCCTTAAAAACATGCTGTCAAGGATAGTTTTAGAGACAAAAAAATGAGTTGGATCAAAAAGTTCCCACGCGTCTGATTAATTCTTTAAGTGTAGTTAGTAAAAATAAACAAGTATGATATTACTTATTACAATTCTATTTCATACAGGCAATAATGCAAACCTTTTATAAAAGGTGTTCAATATTACCACTATTTTCTTCTTGCGCGTAAGAATACGCCGCAAAAAAAGTAGTCATTTTTCTCTAAGATGTCCTTATTCTCTAATGTATTTGCAGCATTCTTAATCCTGTTTCATATTTGATTGGTGTTGTCTATCTGAACCTCGCATACTTTTCTTTTGATAACCCGCATATAAAAAATTCGCAAAGATTAAGACTGGGGGAACGAGATTGTCATTGAGTACGAGCTTCTTGGCCTAAACGAATCCATCTATGATCACATTTCCCGTTGAAGTAATTTCTTACAGCACGCGCTTAGTGAAGTGAAAAGGTACCAATAATCCCCATCTAAACGTTCATTTTAAGTTCCCATTGAAAATGTCTTTCTGAAACTGTATGCGGATATAACATAACATTCCATATTTCTGACAACCAGAGGCCTACGAGGATTTTAACACTTGATGTAATCAGACATTTTTTTAGAAATCAGTTTCGAAAACATTTCTTTTTATCGAAAACTGGTTGGCCTGTTTTTTAAGAGACAAAAAATAAAGTGATCAAAGGATATTTTGATTAAAAAAAAAACAAAATCGTTAGGAGTTGCCAATAAAATCTGCTATAATATATGTAGGGATGGGGGTAGTTTTCACCCTTCATTAACCCTTTAGTTTTTTGTAAATGTCAAATATATTGACGCATGGCTAAACACAAACATGTGTTCATTCGAATGGGACCATCCGTTCCAAAAATATCTGAAAAAATGTGCCTTAAAAAAACGTTGACGCTGACTAACGGAAAATCAAAGCACTTTTGCGTAGAGGTGAATTTTGTTTTGAGTCTAAAAATACGTGGTACTTCTATGTCACGTCCTATACAATGTCTTTGGACACGACATACCGATATTTAAGAGGGGTGTTTTTCAGCTATTTTTATCGACAAATCCATCGCCCTACAATGTCCTACCTCATCCCCCTTGAAATGGCAGCCATTTTTATTTTTACGTTACGATTACGGTAGTGCATGTTTGAAAATTGTAATAACTGAGTACGTAATTGTCACAGAATGATAAATTTGGTGTCATTTGAACGATGACATGTTGCCCTAGCGATTATTGAAAAACTTGTTTTGATACTAACCGTCAAACATATTTAAAAACAGACAAAAACAGAAAAAAATGTGGAAGTAAAATTGATTATTTTGTGCATTTCCGCACACCATTCAAAAACTAGTCTGTGAAGTTGTACTTTTCTTGTGCTAATTCTACAGCTTTTTGTTATCCTAACTATTCTACGTTAAGCAATAAATGCTATCTAACATGAGCCAAAATGAGTGTAATAAAATGCAAATTGTTTTTAAACTTTGAATACATAAAAATGACAAACCAATGCTTCTTATACAGGGTGACTTCGAAGTTGAGTCATTTATTTTAACAGTGAGTAGATCTGATCAAAAGAAATGTTTTTTTCCTTTACCATTTTTCTGGTAAAATTAAAGTAACAAAGTTATAGCCCTTTGGAAGTTTGAGTACCGCCCTGTCTCAATAATAATATTATGTGCTCGTGTTTGGCGACAACGGATATAATCCGGCTTATTGGTTCATCGCATCGGAAACAAAAAAGCGAAAGAATTTGGAACGATGTTTTTACAATTATTTCATTCAGTTGTATACAGTCAGTATCAGTCGGTAGTGAATACTGGTGTATGTTGCGTGGCTCAAACGAAATAAAAAATGGCACATGTTTATGCGGATCGGTTTCCCAATCGAGTGCAACCAACCCCTCGTGCCTTTGTTAATGTAGTACAACGGGTTCGTGAATCAGGTGACTTAAGACCTCACATATGGACGGCATGCCGGTGCTCCAAGACCTCACAAATACAGGTCCGCACTGAAATACTTGTCGGGAGGATACTTTATAAAACAAGGTAAATTTTTTTTTTATTTTTTTTATTTTTACACACATATTTTGGTTTATTTTCCTCCTACAATCATTATCTGAAAATTAATGACTCAACTTCAAAGTCACCCTGCATGTGGTTTGATTCGGCCAGACAGTGGAGTCCTATAGATACGAGCGATATTACAAGGAATTTCGTCTCGAGTCTGGTTTTATCAAACTATTAATACTAGGAGGAAAATTTAAAAAACTGTTGAAACATACTTTGTAGATCGTTAAGAATGATTGAGGTATGGAAATTTGCAGTTATTCTAACTTCTTTAACTTGATAAATGTTTTGGCTATAAAATGCTACCACAAAACATCTAAAATTTTATTTTAGGGCCATATTTACTGTTCTGTGATTGGCATTGCCGTAAGAAGTGTACAAAGGCGCAACAAAAAGTGTATAGAGGTACGACAATCTATACACTTCTTTTGGCATTAGCGTGGAAGGTTTAAAAAAGAAAATATGTAACTGTGATATACCCACGGTACCCAGTGAGTGTTTAGGCCTTAGGGCTTCGTGGTGGTTCAAGTATAAAAAATACTGTATACTGGATTTGGAGAGTTTAGCACCTCTTCATTGTCTGTCCAGTGATGTATATTACCTTAATTCTGCATGGAAGCAAGGTATTCTAACTCACCTTTTGACCATTTGACTACACATTTCGCAGTCCTTAGAAGCGTAGAACAAGACTGCGGACACAGGTTGGTTCGTGATAGTTTCATTGAAATTGATGTCTGTAAGTTCCTCTACTAGCTCATGCGTTGAACTTCTCTGATATGCTAGCAGAAATAGCAGTATTAACTTCAACATACTTTTCATTGAGGGGTACGTTAGGTAATCTGACACTGACAATATAATGATAGATCATTTTGATTAATATCTGTCATTTGAAGCCTTCATGTACCATATACTGGGTGATCAGTAATATTTGCTTTCGCCCGCATCGTGCCAAATCACGTCTTAGCACATCAGCGGTATCTCCTGAGATCCCGCATTGCACAGCAGCAGAGATTCAAGGTCATATTAAAGACCTTAAAGTGCGTAAAGCACCTGGGAAGGATCAAATCACTAATAAGGCGCTGAAGCTGCTTTCGCGGAAGTCTTTAACTTATCTCGTGGCAATATTCAATGCCATGCTAAGGATCCAGTACTTCCCATCCGCGTGGAAGACCGCTGAAGTTATAATGATTCCAAAGAAGGTGGGTTCGATATTTCCCCAGGATTATCGCCCCATTAGCCTCCTGTCAGCTCCGTCTACGCTCGCTGAAAAGGTGACTCTACGTCACCTTGAGAATTTCTCGTCAGATCACCATGTGATTCCTGACGTGCAATTCGGTTTTCGGTCTGAGCATAGTACGGAGCTACAGGCGGTTAGGCTGGTCGAACGTGTAACCAGAGGATTTACCCTTAACGAAAGTACTGGCATCTTGCTTTTGCATATCTCAAAAGCATTTGACAAGGTGTGGCACGCGGGCCTCTTGTATAAACTAATCCAAAAGGGCTACCCTTTTTGGCTTCTAAAACTACTGAAATCCTTCCTTGAAGGTAGGAAATTTCGGATCAAAATTGACAATGTCCTGTCGACAACACAGCTGATTACAGCCGGCGTCCTTCAGGGTTCGGTCCTTGGACCTATCCTTTACTCACTGTACATCCATGACGTCCCTAGTCCCAGCAACTGTGAAGTCTATCTCTATGCTGACGATACTGCATTGGTGGCTCAGTCGTGGTCTGGTGACCTAGTCTATGACAGGCTGCAAAGTGCGGTGGAGGAAGTATTAGATTGGGCGGATCGGTGGCTAATTAAAATAAACCATTCGAAAACGCAGGCAATCTACTGTACAAAAAGACGTCGCGGCGTTCCGTCTGAAGTTTCAATGAATGGTCTTCGTATACCATGGGAATCCTCCGCTAAGTATCTCGGTGTCATTCTGGACAATGGGATGACCTGGCGTAACCATATGGAAGCGCTAAAAACTAAATTCCAAATTACGTCTCGACAGCTTTACCCATTATTATGTAAAGGTTCAAAATTAAGTTTGATTAACAAGATTCGACTCTATAAAGTGGTCATAAGACCAGCAATGACTTACGTATGTGTGGCTTGGTGTTTTATTGCTAAAACACACACGCGAAATCTGCAGGTTCTGCAATGCAGGACGTTGCGCACTATTGCTGATGTCCTATGGTATGTCTCTAACGAAACTCTACATAGAGACCTCGATGGTCTTTACCTAAAGGACTACATTAAGCAACAGGCGCAGCGGCGCTATAGCCTAGCGGAATCGTACAGCAACCCTCTGTTGCGTGAGTCAGTGGACTACACAGTCGAGCAAGTTCGCAAGCACAAAAGTCCGCGGCTCGCACTGTAATCAAAATTAACAACCAAAATTGGATCATTTTGACACAATCTTTAGAAAAAATTAAATATTTTTAGACCATATCAAAATCTGTGAAGTGAACAATGCCTAAAGGCTGCCTATCCTAAAAGATTCTCTTCTTCCCCTTTGCTCTCGTTCTTCCTTCTCTCCTTTCCTTCCCCTTTTTTCCTTAAAATTGTCTGGTTTCTGGGTTACCAGACCTGACAGACTTACAAAATGACACTGTGACTCAAGAGCTAAGGTCCCACGGTCCGCTCTGACAACCAACGATGACTTGTTGCCAAATCAAGTCGTAGATCGAAATGTGGCATTGTCATGTATGTCATATATCAGAATACCCCGAGCTTCATTGCCCGATATTGTGATATAATAATAATAATAATTATAATAAATGGCCTTTATTCGTCACACGATTACAAAATAATTGGTTTAAAAGGAACAGTAACGAAAAGGTGGAGTGTCAGCTTATGCTGTTTTTCAACCCGACCTGGAAAACATTGACACAAACTATAGAGAGAGAGAAAAAAAAACTTAGAATATAACACTTATCAGAGAAAGGAAACAATCAATTACCTGTGGATATGCATAAAGTAAAATTTTAGCGATCCGACTGCTTTAAACTCATCTTTAACCTTTTTTTAAAATTGCTTAGGCTATATTCTTTATACTCACTTGATAAGCAGTTATATAGTTTGGGTGCCCAGTACGAGAAACTGCGTGTGAACAATGCTGTCGAATGCCGCGGGATAAGTAAGATGAGTTTATTCCTAGAGGATCTTTGATCGTACTGGCAGAGGAGGCTTAGTTTTGTATAAAGATAATATGGCGCTTTAAGGATAAGGGTCTTATGCACCAGAGATAGGCAATGCAGTTTCCTCAATTTGTTCATCTTAAACCATCCCGATTGGTCAAAAGCGCTACTAATATGATCAAATTTACGGATTCCATAAGAAAATCTGATGCATGAGTTTTGTATCATCTGAATCCGCTCGGCATCACGTTGATATGGTTGAAATTTCGAAAATGTACCCAATCATCTGAAAAAACTCAGTGTTTCAACAAAAAAAAAAGGAAAGTCGGACTGTAGTTGTCCATAGATGACGTCATAGGTTTATACCATTTAGCAGAGTTCTTGTTATTCAAAATGCGAGCAGAAGGTCAACTCTTTACAGCATAGGTGCAAGAGAGCTCCACGTTTGCCAGATTTGTGTGTCAGATGGCGGCACCACGATTTGGCTGCGAGGGAAGTAAACGGAATAGCGCTCTCCAGGTCAGTTTAAATTGAGAATTAATATTATAGATATCATTTCAGGCAATAACGTTATAGCTACTATGTACTCTGGAACTTCAAACAAATAGTGAATATAAAACATGTATTAAATGTCTACTACTCTTACATTGTATTTTCACACCTTAAATATTTAATACGTTATTCCACAAATAAAAGAATAAATCGTTTTTAACACGCTTATATTAGCTTGGCCTGTATGTATGTAATGGAATTTTTGATCATAATTTTCACCAATTTCCAGAAGTTTGATTAATTTGAAACTTCGCACACGTATCAAGGACCGATGACAATGCAATAATTTGATAACAGTTCTCGATTATCTTTAAGAGAAAAATTCTGTAAAAAGCGGATATGTTAATAAAAAGCCACGGATTCCAAATGCCGCTTTACGAATAGTGAAAGTAGCTCAGTGGCAGAGCACTAGTCGTGTAAAGCAGGGGTCGTGAATTCAATCCTCACAGGAGGCAGATTTGTGGTATACCTATTTTATTTATTTTTCAACATGCTTTTATTATCTTGGCCTGTATGTACGTAATGAAATCTTTCAGCGTAATTTTCACCAATTTCCAGAAGTTTAATTAATTTGAACCTTCGCACACGTATCAATGACACAATGCAATATCATGACATGTCCACAAAAAACTAATTGATACGTAATTCGAACTAAAAAATGAAAAATAAATAAGAATTTAAAAAACTAAAAAAAAACACAAGCTCTTATCTAACTAAAAAGTAGAAAATAATTTTTATTTATATTACAGTAGTAGATGGACGAATAGTCAATCATAACTAATAACCTCGAAATAAAATTACAATAAGATTTAAGTTATTAACAGAATAATTTAATTCAGAGTAAAAAGCGTGGCGTGTATTTTACTACAGTTTCATAACTCTTCTCTCATAGATGGTTGCCAATAGAATGATTGTAACATATATATCAAGCACCCCACGCTTTTTACTCTGAATTGAATTATTCTGTTAATAACTTAAATTTTATTTTTTTATAATTGATTGTTCGACCATCTACTATTGTAATATAAACTCTTTGTAATTAAAAGTTGTTTTCTACTTTTTAATTTGGTTAACTGTAAAAGCGTATTTTTTTTTAGTTTTTTAAACTATTATTTATTTGTAGTAATTTTATGGTAAAAATTGTTACATGATATTTTAATTCTATAAGTAGGTATTTTACCATTTTACCATCTATTGGTATATCAACAAACTATAATATTTAGTGGAATTTATACACTCCATAGACCGTTATTCACACCAAAACTAAATTTTTTTATAATCTGTAACATAGAACGACCGCTTCAGTTACAGATATGAAACTATACTTTGGTGTGACTTGCCCGCTTAGCTTTGCCTTTAATGATAAATAACATCTGAAATATTGCTTCGTTAGTGTTTTTTTCTATTGCACGCATTATTATTGTTCACATTTAATTATTATTTGTCCTCAAGTCTGTGTAATTATCAACGGATTATATAAGTATAAACAATAAGCGGCAACGCTGCTAAGGGTGGAAATTTCAATTGTCAATGTTAAATTTTCGCGACTACAGTCATTAAAAGATGTTTACATTACTTGCTCGCCAGTTTGATGTTTTTCCTATTTATAGTATTTTGTTTATTGAACCGTAGGCTTATGGAAGACCATATGAAGCGTATAAATGCAAACCCAGACATTTGACATTTTTGAAAAAATCAGTTATATATGGACTCCACATGCAAAAATGTCCGATATTACGATTTTCTGACCCTCAAGTCCATAGGCAGACATCTTAAGCCCTTATTCGCACTTAAAATTTGGTTTTAGATGCAAAAGCAGATATTTGTGTACGCCGGCTACGTGCAAAAGCAGTCATTTGCCTTTAAGCCAATCCGAGCGTGACTGCTTAGTCATGTGATCTGGCGGCAGCTGCCGTACCGTGCTGCTACGCTGTATTTTTCTTTTTAACATCAAATTCGAGATCGTACGTACGTTCTACGTTGTTAAAGTGATATACTAACTGAATTATTGTGTTCATAAATAAATTGAAGTACTTGAGAATAAATCATGAATAGCAATATTACTATTGAACCAAGTCCACCTGGTAAAGGTCGAAAAAGGTTAGTAAATAAGCAAGAATGGAAACGAGAGAAGGACAAGATAAAAAGGTATGTTCGCTTTGTAAGTTTCTTTGATAACTAGCTAG